TTGACTCTCTCAGAGTCTCATGATTAGGGGAAGCATATTTACAGCTAAACTCAAAACAATGAAATTTATTCAGTGGTTATGAATTGGAGAAATCTGGATTGTTCAGAATAGCTGTAACATGGTTTTCATATTGCATAATGGCAGAGGTTATTTTTTCAAAGTATGTAACACAAGTAGAAGAAACTGCTCTACAAATAATTTACAGCTAATGAATTTTGTCAGGTTAAACATTGTCCATAGGCAGAATAGTATTTTATTTGAATTCCTGTGGCAGCACCCAAAATTGCAGAGCAGACCAGCTATGGGAATAACAGCATTGCCATTTTGCCTGTAAAAATAGTAGTTTTCTGGATTGTTGTAGTATTGACAACTCTTTTATCCCTCAAATATTCAGAATTATCTTAGGGCCGGGATTTCCCACTTATTACAAGACTTCTAAAATTGGGCAAAAATGGAGCATGTGATAACACTGACAGAACTAAATTACACATGAAACTTGTTCTTCTGTTTGTCTTAAAGGGGGTCTCTGACATTATTAACAAGCTAGAAACTAATAGCAGGAACCCAAGTTCCTGGTTCAGAGCTCACTTGACGTCCCTGACCCACACTCAATGCCAAGGCTGGTCTCAAAGGCTGGGCTCTGCCAAGAGAACCCTCCTTGAGACTCATCAAAGAGAAATAAAAATCCTTAAGGTAGGCAGCTCAGAGCAGAAACTCAGTTCCTGGGCTGTTACAGCTTCTAAGCCTGCATTGTTGCCTGCTTTTGTTGCTTGAAATAGATGTAAACCTTGTGCAGAGGGAGAAGGAGGATGATGAGGAAGACAAGGGTTACACTTTTCACTTGTTAGAATTTATTGGGGGTTTGGAAAACAGATGTCTAACCTCTATATTTGGGCAACTTTTAAATTGATGCTAAGGTAGCAAGAGCTACCACAAGAGTTTCATGTTAGTCTTGTAAACAGCACGTGAATCTAGAGGGGAAAAAAATCATATTTCTCTAGAGGAAATGGTGTATTACCTGTAAGCATGTTAGCATTCAGGAACACATAACCACAGAATGATTATATGAAGGTGCTTTATTGAAGAGCTCTGGGTGTCAGGGGTACACAGACCCAAATCTGACCCATCTTGGTTTTGAGCTGAACATGTTTTTATACTCTATCGTTATATAACTTACATATTAATTATTAAACTTACATTGTTCTATTGTATGCATTGATTTTACCCAAGCATGGATTTCTCGTGATCCCCCCAGCCCCCTAACATAGTTTCTCATGATTCTTTAAACAATAATTATATCTAGTCACATCTAACAATTGTATCATTTATCATATACCGATTGCACAGGTGCAGTTTCACATGATCCTAGCAAGCATGAGGTTTAACATTTCCCAGGGCCTACTTTTCCCAGGGTTTGCCAAACCTAACTTTCTTCCTAGCTCCCCGAATTTTCTATGATTTTAAAATCTTTTGCTATCAAGCACGTGAAACATTACTTTAATTTTACTAATTACTATTAAGGGGGAAAAAGCAAAGATGAAAAAAGAGCAGAGATTTCTGTCTTCCTGGTATATACTTCTCTTATGCATTGGAAAAGGCTGGGAGCCCTGCTTGCCCATGCCAGCAGCCCATTGTTTCTTAGTGCAGGGCTGGTTGTGTAACCAGTTGGCAAAGGGTTCAGGTAATGAGCTCTGGCAGGAGCACAATTGGAAATGGGAATTGACTTTGAAAGCAGTATCTCCTGGGCTCCCTCCCCTTCAGGAACCCTCAGATCCTGCATGGAGACCTGAAACCTTTTGCCTGTTTGTGCCTTAACATGAAGGAATTAAATCGAGGGAGAGGCCTCATGAATAAATTGGTTGTCAAGGCAGTTTCTGGTGTTGATCAAATTCTGCTATTTATGTGAATTGGGCTGATCTCAGAGTGAACTTGAATTGACTGCACAGCAGGGAAGTTATTTTGGATAATACCCTTTCCACATGCATGGCAGTATAGTGAATGTTCCTGTGTCCATCCCACAGTAATAATGAAGAAAGAAATTAAATTTATATTAACTGAATTTGTAACTCTTTCCAAAAATGAGATGTTAAACTGTGCTCCTCCCAAGCTTTGTAGTGGTGCTCAGCTTCGTAAAAGTTCAAAATATCTTCTGTCTTGTTTGGCCCTGGTCATTGTTTCCCAGTAATTTTCTTGCTGACAGTATCCAATAATAAACTCTCAGTGTAAAAACCACTGATGCTGTTACAATTCCCTCCCAGAAAAGATGGGGAATCAGGGTTTTAAATATGGAAAAAGGTGAAAAAGCAGAACAAAAGCAACCCTTCTGACAGTATTTATGATTCTAAACCTCTGAAAAAAGTAATTTTGCAGATCTGTCTATGCTGTTGTTACTCTTTCTAGGCTTGCCATCCCCCATCCCATGCCTGATGGGATCACTGCAGATGGGAGACAACTGGAACAAAGCACATGTGCAGAAATTTACACATGCACATGTGTCCATAAAATTCTCTTTCATTAGGCTCCATCATCACCTCTCACTATGCCAATAAACCTTTGCACCTGTCAGCTGCATGAGAGTTTTCTGAAATGGAAGGCAAGAAACCTTTCAGCAGCGTGGCAAAGCCAGGCATGCTGGCTAGTTAAAGATCTTGTGATATGGGCTTGGAACTTCATGTGGTCATCTTCAGGCAGTGACAAGGGGAGAAACTGGGAGGCAAGACATAACCTGCCATATCATATCTCCTTCATTTGGTTAATAGATGGTGGTTTAAAGGGGTCAAAGTCAGATTCAGAGGCAGCAGCAGCCTGTTGGAGCATGTTGGTGTTTAGCAGACATCCCAAATACCTACATCAGACATCCTGGTGTCTTGGTGGGTAGGGCTGTGCCCACTGCACTCAAGTAGAGACAGTCAACAGCACAAGGGGAAATGGTTTTAATGTGAAACAGCAGGTTTAAGACTGGATATTAGGAGAAAATTCTTTTCTCAGAGAGTGGTGAGGCCCTGGCACATATTGCCTTTTGAAGCTGTCATTGCCCATCCCTTGAAGTGTTCAAGGCCAGGTTGGATGAGGCTTGGAATAACCTGGCCTGGTGGAAGGTATCCCTGCCCATGGCAGAGGGATTGGAACTACATGGTTTTTAAGCTTATTCCCAGCCCGCCTAATTATTCTGAGGTTTTTCAAAATTTTATTTTTCATAGAGCTGCATCCCTCAGATAATCAAAATGTATCACAATTGGAATATCTATGTATCTTCCTTGTTTAGTCAATGTTTTCATGGTCCCTTGAATTTCATATTGATTCTGCCAGAAGTCAGGCAGGGATTTTCAAACACCTGTTCAGTCTTGTACTTGACAAATCCTTGCCATATACACATTATTTGTGTGGGGTCACCTGGGTTTATCTTTTGCATAAGCCAAAAAGACAGGTGGGTCAGCACTGGGAAATCTTGGGGATGTTGGTACATAATAAACCACAGGAGATAGCCACACTCGGTCTCATGAATTTCCTGGAGAATCATCTGGAATTTGATACACCCACAAAGGGGCCATTTCAAGCAGATATGCAGCATTCTCAGTCACAGATGATTAAAGGCTTTTTGTTTGTGTCTGTGGGGACATGATTTTAAACCAGTGATCCACTGAAAGCTTCTGCATGAGAAGTAAGGTCTGTTAAAATGATAAGTAACATTTCTATCACTGTAAAGTCATCCATCCCCCAAGCTTGGTGGGACCATAGGTCAGGCATTGGAATAGGCTGCCCAGGGAAGTGGTGGAATCCCCAACCCTGGAAGTGTTCTGAAGGTGAGTGGATGTGGCACTGGAGGACATGGTTTTGTGGTGTACTTAGCAGTCTTGGGTTAACAGTTGGACTCTGTCTTAGACATCTTTTCCTACCTTAATGGTTCTATGGTTCTATGATTCTATAGGTAGTGTGCCAGAAGTTGTCAGTGAAAATAGCATTGACCATCACAGCGAGCAGAGAGGAAGTTAAACTTCCCATTATACCATTGGTTTGCAGATAAAATTTTAAGGAAAAGTGGCTGAAATTTTCAGTGGAAGAGATCATTTTTTTTGGACAAAATTAATGTAGTACACTCCAGTGGACTTAAAAAGCCCACTTTAGAACTCCACAGGAAAAAGTAGGAGGGTTTTGAGAGACAGTGAAGGTTTCATCTGTGTTGTTGATGGACTACATTATTTCAGTTTAAGAATAAAATGTTTATGAAATATATTACTACACTCTGCTGTCTCATTATAACCACCCAAATGCCTGGTTCACTTAGTGACCAGTCACCTGATATCCTAGAGTTCAGTCACAGGAAGGGTGCAACAGGCTTTACAGCAGCCACAGAAGTAGAGAAGTAGCATGATGGAATGTAAATAAAAACTGGCTTCTTAGCCAATGGCAGAATAGTAGAACTCTGTCTAAAACAGCAAATCCATTTTTTTTTTTCTTTTCAAATATTGTTAGGAGTTTGAATCTAAGCTTCCAGACAAGCCTGAGGCAGAAGAGATAAAAATGTTGAGTTACAATGATAAAATGCATTTTCCTACATTCATATTCTAGTTTGTGTCTGTCTACCCAGTGTATTTGAACTCTTCACTGTATTTATTTTCTTTCTGCTAGCTATAGAAACTTTATAACTGTGATTAACTCCCCATCATATATTGTGTTTTATGAGCAGAAGGGATTCTTTAAAAACTATGAGAAAAGAATGGTGGGGATGCAGAAGCATGCACCACGATGCAATTTTAACGATCCCAGTTAAAAAAGAGGATGAATTGGCTAAAAATATTCAGACAATTTTTTTCAAGCCATGTTCTCCCTGTATCCTCTGTCCTCTTCTCTAGTGGGTGCCACTATACAGCAGTGGAGTCTACAAAGGTAAGAGCACGCCAGAAACAAAACAAAAAAGCCAGGTATGAGGAGTCTGAGAATTAGACATTAATCAGGTACTGTGAGTATTGATTTTTCTCCTTCTTTGGCTTATATTATAGGGATACAAGAGCAAGAGGAATCTTCTGTGGAGCCTATGAAAATTGACCTTGCAAGTCAAGCAGCAGATGTTTCAAATAAGGATGGTATGTTGTTCGGTTATTTTCAACTGCTTTTTTAGGGTAATGGCTTTAAAATGACAAAGAGTATGTTTAGATTGGATATTATTAAGGAATTGTTCACTATCAGGGTAGGGAGGCAGTGGAACAGGTTGTCCAGAGAGCTGTGGGTGCCCCATTCCTGGAAGTGTTCAATGCCAGGTTCGTGGGGGCTTGGAACAACCTGGTCTGGTGTAAGGTGTCCTTGCCCATGGCAGGGAAGTACAACTAGATGGTCTTTAAAGTCCTTTCCAAACAAAACCATTCTGTGATTCTGTGTATTGTCTGTAAGTTGATACCTAGCATTGCCTTTCTGGAGTTTGTTTATACGTCTTTTTGGGGGTTTACACCATCTCTGCTGTCTTGTGAGTCTGGTGGAAGTAACTTTCAGTGCTGCAGCCCTGCTTTTTGAGTTGATTGGGTTAATGTGTTCAGTTGGTGTGTTCACACTGCCTGCCTTTTAAGTAATATCTTAGACCCTCTGTAATGTTGATCCTCATATAGAATTGGCCAAGAGGTGGGGGCTCTAACTGCAGTCAGAAGATTATTTCTGAATATTTCTGTGCTGGTGCCCAGCTCCATGAGGGGGAAGTGTTTGGCAGTATAACCACTCTGAACTTGTATGTTATTCTAGGTCAGCTGTGATTCCCTTTCCTCCTCCTTCAGTATCCATGTGTAGTTCAGTCTGGTAACAGTTCTCTCACTAGGACTTTTACTGTTAATAAAATAACCACAATTTAGTTGACATAACAGCAGTTCCAGTCAGGTTTGTGGACATAATCAACCCAAAATTCCTGACTCGGAAATTATATTCCTCCAACACTGACCTCAGTGAGCCAATGATCCCTCTGTGTGGCAAATTCCAACAAGGGCTGAGTACTGGGATACTACTCAAAATCTGCAGTGAGTAAACGTCCTTGTAAACAAAAAATAATTGACCTTCTGAACTCATCCTGTGTGTAAAGAAATAGTGGTGGGAATGAACATCCTGGTGATCAGGCTTTGGTGAGGCAGACCCTTTTTCACTTGTCTTGGTCATGTCTTGTAGCATAACAGAGCTACAGGGTTTTGTTGGTTCTACACAGAGGGGCTTTTTTACTGCCCCAAACAGCAGTGGGCTTGGGATTGGGTGTCCAATCCTCATTTTATACCCATAGACTCCTCTCTGTAGTGAAGGCTATTTTTTATCTCTTTCTTTAACCTCCTCAACATTGACATAAAATAAATTGAAGTCACACTTTTTTACATCTCAAAGACAAACCAATTATATTCTTTTTGCGATTAGTTACATGAAGAATCTGATGCCGATTTCCTTTCTCTGATGTCACATTGTACTGCAGCATTTTAATCGATGACTGATTAGATACTGGCCTGTAAAGAAGTTTGCAAGCACAGGAAAAGCAAGTGTGCATAATGAATTTTCTTTTTAAAAAAATACTAGAGATTATGCTGTTACAAGTAGAAGTGCAGAATAAAGCCAAAATCAGCCTCCTCAGCTCATGCTTTGAACACACCCAAAAGTCATAGCACATTAAAACATTTGAATTGTGAATCCATGGGATAGTTTGGGCTACTTAGTGAAAGCAAATCCAAATTTACTAAAGGAATATCTTAAAGGATTTCTGGCTGGAAAGCTGCATAGCTGTTTCAACACATGCCATAGGACAGGACAGTGGTTTCTGAAATGAGTGATAGGTTTCTCTGTTTCAAATCCTGCTTATAGTGTAAGGTCTTCTACATATGACTCATCTCCTACCTTCCTTTTCTTTGAACTTTCTAAGTTATATGAAAGGACAGGAAAAGGGTGTTTGCTTAGGCTGCTAAACAGTACTTCACTTGTCAGGGAAGTCTTTGTTTCTAGACAGCTTAAATTGGTATTAGGATTATATTACAGGATGTTTTTCCTTGTGGACATATACTGCATGTTAAAAAAAGAGAGAGGAAGGATCAAACTCGTTCCCTTTAACAGTAATTTTTATGTAAATTGCCTATTTTTTTCTCTGGTCCCCTTCTTTCTGCCCCAGGAGATCTCATTGTTTCACAGCTGAAAGCACAAGCATATATCACTGCATCCCCGTGGCAGCCCAGCTCTTGTGGTTTAATTTCATGTACGATAGCACGGTGAAAAGTGCATTAGTGATGCAGAGAGTTTAGACAGCTTAGGTGGATTTCAATATTGGTTCATCCAGTGGGCAGGTCCATGAGAGTGATATATTGGAGAAATTACTATTATTTGAGACCTTGATTCTCCATCAGGAACACTGTCAGAAGGTGCATCTGTAGCCTGGATTAGGGCCATGATACAGACACATATTTGTTCTGCCAGTTTCCTTCAGCCATGAGAGCAGACCCTTTTATATTAAATTTCTTGTACCCAGGACAGATTTGCTGATTAATTTTTTAATGATGGCAAACCCATTCTTAGAGGGTATTTCTCTGACAGCAGCCTTTTTTTAAATTTTTCTTCTTTCCTTATTTTTTCTTTGTCTTTCTTTCTTTCTTTCTTTCTTCCTTCCTTCCGCCACTTCCTTCCTTCCTTCCGCCCCTTCCTTCCTTCCTTCCTTCCTTTCTTTCTTTCTTTCTTTCTTTCTTTCTTTCTCTTTCTTTCTTTCTTTCTTTCTTTCTTTCTCTTTCTTTCTTTCTTTCTTTCTTTCTTTCTCTTTCTTTCTTTCTTTCTTTCTTTCTTTCTCTTTCTTTCTTTCTTTCTTTCTTTCTTTCTCTTTCTTTCTTTCTTTCTTTCTTTCTTTCTCTTTCTTTCTTTCTTTCTTTCTTTCTTTCTCTTTCTTTCTTTCTTTCTTTCTTTCTTTCTCTTTCTTTCTTTCTTTCTTTCTTTCTTTCTCTTTCTTTCTTTCTTTCTTTCTTTCTTTCTTTTCTTCCATCCTTCCTTATGTCCTTACATCCTTTCTTTTCTTCTTTTCTTTCCTTCTTTTCTTTCCTTCTTTCTCTCTTCTACCAAAGCTGTAGAGACTAGTAAAGCAGTTTTTCCACCTGGTATTAGTCAGATCAAACTTTTCACAGTGGGATTGCTTGATCATCATTTTTTGTTTCAAGCCTGTGGAAATCTGAATCCTGATTTAAATCAAAACACTAGTAATTTGTTGTCATCTGCTGTCCAGGTCTATGGCATAATATCCTAGGCTAAAGAAATGCACTCTCTCTCTCACAGATGACTTTAACTTGGCTCTCGAGTCTCCCATTTACCTGTCTTCTCCACTTAGGTGCTGGGCTGTCACTCCTGGCTAGCTAACCTTTGAGCACATAACTCTCTTGCAGGGATGAGGAATAATGTTGCACTGCCAAAGCACATCCCTCAGGTCAGCAACAACCACAGGGCTGTGATGGATGGCAATTATTTCCTGGGTTATTTCTTCTCCTCTTGCAAGGAACTTTCATGCTTTTGGGGCAGAAATCGCTGCCTGATCATCATTTGAGCTGATAATTTTGGCCCCCAATGGGTCAAAGATGAAACAGAGAATGTCCACATCACACAAAGATACCCATTAATGGCATAAAAACCATCTGTGAAGGTGCAGAGGGAGGTGCAGGTAAAACTGAATTTAGGAGACAGGCACCTCTTTGCACTCCAGGTGCTTCTCTGAGCTGTTGGCTGATATAGCATATTATGGGGAGGTGCAGCAAAACTGCTGAAGTGAGCTAGCAGTTTAAAACCTCTAAAAACCTTGTTTATCAGGGAGAAGCCCTGTTTCAGCTTGCGGTGTGATTGGATGTAGAACACCCAGGGCTAATGCTGCCTTTCTGACACCACCTCGTGCTGGGAGGAACCCAGGACTGTGAGTCACATCCCCACCATAGCTGGTGGCAGTTCTTCCATGTGTTCTTGTGCTATGTGCTTCACTGCTGTGCTGTTTTCCAGCCAAACAGAGAGAATTGCGTGGCTGTCCTCATGGCAGCATATGTTGGGGTGCTCTCAGTGGTCTGCAGAAGCCCTCCCTGTCCCTAGCAGAGCTCATGCAAAGCTTGTAGGAAAAGGTTCATCTGGGATGCTGACAGAGCCCAACCACGGGTTTCAAGTCTGGATTTATTTTGCAGGAGGTTTCTGTAGAAATTGAGTGAAGGCTGATGGTATTTTCAACAAATACTGCCAGTGAAGCTGTCCAGTGTAATGAGGCTGGGAGAGGATGCTGTTGTCAGTGTGCAGCAGCCTTCCTTCAGTGATCTTTTTATTAAGCATCCTGTCTTTGCTATGCAAATATAGTTAAAGAAGGCAAGCCTGCTAAATGTGATGTGCATCAGAGCTCTGTAATCAGGAGAGGATACTTTTTGTATTATTCATCACTTACATCCAGGAAGCCATTACAGTATCTTCTCTGCATATGGAAGATAAATAATTTACAAATAATTCATCAAAACCGTAACAGGTACATTGGCATGATATTGATTCAGAAAAGACTTAATACTGCCTGGCTGGAAGTAGCATCATTACTGATTTGGGGTTTTTTTTTCCTTCCTCTCTCCCATCTTATCTTAGTTTCCAAATCTCCTAGTCATGTTTGAGGTTTTTCCCTGTCACCCATGTTAAATGCCTCATAACCTACAAGTGATAACACAACACAAAGCCAGGGTAAAGAAAGAAAAAAATGAAAAATAGTTTTAATATAAATGGCTTAATTCAATTTCACTGCAGAACAAATACTAGATACTAGTCTAAAAACTGCAGGTATTTATGTTTAGCCTCACTACAACCAATCACACCTGCCATAGTTTAGATGGTAGTTTTCACAAATGTCATGGTGAAAGTAGTTTAAGCCTTCTATTTTATTTTTTTTTCTGTAATTTTAAATGAAAATAAGGTTGGCTTTTAAATGGATCTTACACTAACAAACTATTATTGTAGGACTATAGTGGCATTGCCTCTGAATCCTTCCCTAGGTTCCAGCAATTTACAGTTCAAGGACTTCTGTTGAACAGAGACAGGATCAAAAGTGTCACAGCTTGACTCCTGTAATTTAGGGCCATGGTTAATGGGACTTGGTAGTGTTAGGTTTTTGGTTGGACCCAGTGATCTTAAGGGTCTTTTCCAACCTAAATGATTCTGTTTGTCTATGGAAATGGATCTGTGTTCATCCTGTGGCTCAACCCTGAGTCTTACCAGGGACTTGGTCAGAAGCCAGTGTTTGAATCTGAGGGTCAAGACCACTTGGTCCAGTGAAACTCCAGATCACTCTTTGTATCACCTGTGTCTCTGCCTGTGGCCTACAGAAAGAGATGAAGGTCCTTTGCACCTTGAGCTGGATTCCTTGGTCTGCTGCATCCAGACTGGATGGATGTGGACCAAAGAGGAAATCTGGAGCCAGAGGCTTACATTTCTAGTGATGCTAAAGCCTTCCTTCCTTCCTTCCTTGCAGGACTGTTTGTCATAGTGTCCGGGGAACTCCAGGATGGGTCCCCTAAGAGACCTATTTGATGACTTAAGAGATTTCTTAATGCAATAAATGTCCCTTTTGGTTTAAAAGCAGTTATTACTCCACTTGATAAACTTAATGAGTATCATTAATAGAGTTTAATGACCATCTCATTTCTTTTTCAGCTGAAATGAATAGTCAAGTTGAAAGTATAAACGATCCAATGGAAACAGAGCGGAAAGCTTAAGTTACAGGTAAGACCTTCACAACTATTTTTTCTCCCCTATTTTCCATACAGTTTCTATATGAAAACTTGCTTTGAAAGCATCTGAATTAAAATTTACAAAAAAAAAAAAATAAATAAAAAAAAATAGGAAGACAGAATACAAAGAAGTAACTGTCTCAGATGGCCTGTATTACATCATAAAAAGAAAGATTTAATTTGTCAAGCAGATATAGCAGCAATCTGCAGCTGTAATGGGTTTGGGTAGTGCATGGTCTGACATCATCAGAAGGCAAGACAGCACTGAGATAACCAACAGAAGAATAAATGAGCAAACAATTTTTGGCATTGCTTGGGAAAATGACAGGCAACTTATACTGGCTGGAATGAAGCTCAGTTCTGTATGAGCTGTATTCTGGGAACAAAGGGTTCACATTGTAAGGGGTTTGTTGCCCTTGGCTCTCCAGTACCTGATGTCTCTTCAGCAATACCACTAAAAAACAAGGCAAATTCAGACAGCTGCCTTTTGGAGCTTTTTTTTGGCTTTCCACACTAAATGATAGTGCTGTGGCTGGAGCAGCAGTGGCTTTTGAGACAGTGTTTTTCATAGGCATAAGCAGCATTTCTTCTAGACTAAAATGAATAATGTAGTGGGAAGACAGAAGTCCAAGACTCATCCCTAACAAAAAGATGCAGTAGCCATTTCTCTCTCAGAAGTGATTTCAGTGCTTCCCTTGGTGTTGGGTTTTTGAGAAATTCCAATATTATCAACAGCAACATGCCATATTTACCCTTGTAATGGGGTTTCATGTAGCACAAGGGCGAGTTGTACAATGGCAGCAGCTGTAACACAGAGATTTTATCATTTATTAATTTATTATTGAACATAACTTGGTCCTTACCTGTGTGCAGGTGATGTGTTACTGTACTGCTGGAGTGAGAAGTCTCCCTGATGGTGTCCCATTTAAAGAGTACTGAAGTAAAAATAGGATGCACCCTCAAAATATTAATTAAAATACAGCATCCATAACTCTTCCTCTCCCTCCTTTAGCTTCTTGCTCGAACAAAAAGGAGGAAATAATAAAATCTTTAACTTAAAAATACATCAATATATTAATAACATTAATCTGTTTTTAAAAAAGTGTTTGAATATTACAGTTTTCATGTGGCCCTTAAGAAGTCTGTTTCTCATGCTGCGTTTTCCCAGAGAAATTATTATCTGTGAATGTTTAGGGCTGGAGTAATTTTTGCTCACGGATTAGCAATCAATTAATAAATCTCTCCAGTTCCACTGCAAGATGTGGCTTTGCAGCCACCTTTCTGATACAAAGGGGCCAGATCCTGGGCACACCATGTCTTGCTCAGCAGTTCAATGGTGTGCACAGGATTAGAAGCAGGCATCAAATTCATTGCAGCTCTCTGTCAAAATCTTCCAAACTCCATTGCTACTGTTTTAATTACTAGGAGTGATCACCAGGCAGGATTGATCATCCTGTTAAATCTCAGAGAATCTCACAAGGGTTGTTTTCAAGCCATGGAGGTCCATTTGCTTCCTATTTTTAGTACTGTAATGTGTTGTTTGTCACCAAAGCACCTGCCAGAGCTGGGATTATCTGGTATCATCTGTTGCTTGATGGTGCTCTGGGAAACCAAGGCACCCTGGATAAGCAGAGGTAATTTGCATACCCAATATTAGCTATTATATGTAAGCTGTGTCACACACACATATTGGACAAGAAAAATAAACCATAGGTATCTGTTGCTGGAAATATGAGACCTGGATTCTTTGCAGACATTTGAAAAATTAACTTTTTTCTTTCCACTTTTCTCTCTACTGCTGTGGCGAAGGAAGGATGCAGGAGAGGAGAGACCCAAGGAAACCCTACGGGCAGGCGCTGACATCCTACAGCATCATTCTTGGCTGAAAAGAGCACACGGAGATGATCAGCGGGTTGGGAGGGGGGGAGCTTTTGGGGGAATGAGTCTGCTTTTAATTTCTCTTTGTTCTTCATTCCATTTCATTCTGTAAGCCTGTTGGAAACAATCATAACATCCCAGGTCTAACAGTGTTTTTCAATTAACCCTGCATTTACAACAGTTTATTCTGAAATGTGAGTCCCTCTCTCACACTGGGTCTTTTTTCCTCCTGCATCATACCATCACACCTGTTTCCAGGCCCACCCCTTTTCTAGCATCTTTATCTTCTTCCCCATGATCAGCCTATGCTGTGCCATGTCCTTACATGTGAATGACACATGTGGCCTCAAACAGCCCGCACCCCAAATCCACCCTGCTTTTTCCAGTTAGTTCTGCACATCTCAAAACCAGTGCTGTAAGTATGACCTTTGGGTACAGGCAGGCAACAGACATTTCCTCTATGCTGGAAAGGCTGTGCATTCATGGCATCTTTAGGTACAGCTCCCGGCTTTAACAGCTTCACACAGTAGCTTTTGTGAGCCCTCATTACATTTTCCACTGCATATGCATGAATTTTTATTTTTTTTTAAAAGCAATTAACAGTTATTTGGATAAGAATGTCTCTCCATATGTCAATTGTTCTGCCAGCAAATGCTGCACTGAAATTCGTAGAAAAGGAACAAAAGGTTTTCATGTACATTTCCCAACTGTACTGTAACCGAAACTGACAGAAAATACACTGGATGGAAGAGCACGAGACCCGTGTCCCTAGTGGGATGTGCTACAAACTGTATTTTAAAGTGCTGCTAAGAAGAATCTGGCGACTTTAGCGAAGTAATTGATTCTAATTTGATATTTGTAAGAAAATAATTAGTTCTGTTCTATTTTTTTTTCACCCAAAATATTCTTTAATCACAGAATAGGTATTTAATATCTGTCCAGAAAAAAAAAAAAAAAAAGTAAAATAAAAAGGTAAGACATATCTCTATCCTCCTGTGATCTGGGTTCATCCCAGCTAGAGCAGTTTCAATGATAAATCCTGTGCTGGAGTAACAACAGCAAGTCAAGGATGACCCAAGCATAGCTAATATGGGCTAGGACAGTCAGTGATTGTTGTTAATTCAGAAGGGTGTCAAGGTAAAACAAGGATTAGAAAGTAAAATAGGAAAAGCATCAGATTATATACCGAGAGTACAGCCCCTAGAAAGGCATCCCCCTACACCTCCCTTCTCTGTGGGACTCCAGCATGTTCACTTGAGGTGGGATCACAAGGTATTTATTTCTGTGTGCTGCCTCCAGTGGTACATTCACCCGGCTGTGACTAGCACCGGGAGATGCTCTCAAGGACCTTCATCACCCGGAGTGGATGGACAACTCCAAATTGGATCAATTGTAGGAGTAAATGAGCTAATGTTCATCTGTTAATTGGTTTGAGAATTCTGCTAAGATTACCTATATTTGGTAACTACAGTTCCTCTGGATTTTGTTCTCTCCAAATGCTCTTGAAGGGACTCCTTGTTCCCTTTGAGGTGCCTCTGATGCTTTCCTTTCCCAGCTTTGGGGTCATGCTTGACAGAAGATGTCTTTTGGGATGTGGACTTTTCTGCATGCTCCCTTATGTTTCTGTGTATTTTTCATACTGCGTTACTATGATTGAAACAGGCTGTCATAATAGGTAGGTCAGGAGTGGATACATACATCAGGAGGATGGCATAACTGTGATAACTGCAACAGCCTATCCAGTGCCCTAAATGTAGTTCTGTTTGTGCTTCCCCGTGGGCAGCATTAACGTTAGCCATGAATCAGGTGTCCCTCTGTTTTCACCAACTTTGGTTTTAGCAAAGGAGCCAAAGGGATGGCCCCACGGGAGGCTGGATGCTGAGGTGTGGTCATTCAGAAGGAGATAAAGATTCCTTAAATGTCTTGTGAAGACTGACTGGCAGTTAAAGAAAAAAAATAAGCTTCAGAATGCATCATATTAGACACTCTCTAGCCCCTGAAAGTAATTTTGCTTTTTATTTAACCTTCGTAGACAGTTGAAACAACCATTTGCCCAATGATGGGTTGGCAAAGCGTGAAGTCCAGAAAGCGTAAAGCAAGGAAACCTATGAGTAGATTAAGTCCTTACTGTACTGTTTGCAGCCTTGTTTATATCTGTCTTCCTTTGGGTGGGTTTTGATTTTGAGTTGTTGGCATTTTTCACCACTCATAAAGTGAGTATACTTCGGCAGCATGAGTTCTCAGCTGTGTTAGTAATAGTCGATGCAGTCTGCCTCTGATGTTCTTCTGGAGATGGAGAAAGGTAAGGAGCTGAGGTTGTGGAAGAACAAGTGTTAAATGGAGAATCACCATACTGCTATTTATGTCAAGGATTTTGATTTAAACAAAATGTATTCACAGTAGGTGGTGTAAAGGGAGTAGCAGCCTTTGGGTGCTGATTTTTGCATTCAACATAAGAGGCTGTGCTTGATTGTTGTTTCTCCTGTGTCTGAAAGTGCTCACCCCTACCATTAGGCACAATATTCCTCAGGCTGGTGACTGCTCCCGTGATGACATCCAAAGGTGATACTTAGACAGTCTGTCATAATGGGTCACTGCAGCTAATTGTCACTCTTTCTATAAAGCACTGAGAAAGCCTCTCTTGGAATTAACACTGTTCTGCTTTAGGACTTGAATGAAATTATATTAAAAAAAAAAAAAAAAAAAAGAGTTTTCTCTATATGCAGTGCATGCCGGCTTTGCTTTTAAAATTACAAAATTTAACAGAGTATGTGGATCTATTTTCTTGGGGAATAGGGATTTTTATCATATTATTCATCCAGGATTTGCCTTACCCTGACATTTGTGATATAAGTTTTAAAAAAGTGTAAAAATTGAAAAAGGTAATTTTCTTGACCAAAAAAATATGTTTTTACTTCAATGCAAAGAAATGTAGAATGTTGCTTGAAAAATGTCTTCTAATAGATGGTCTAGTAGTTATATGGGTTAACATATGCCTTTTTTGTTACTTTGTCATTTACATGCTTAACCTGAGTCTCGTTACTTTCCTTGTAACTTAAGGAAACAATGCCTTCATAACTATCTTGTTAAAGCAAATCGTTAATAAAGCTTGTCCTGAAGACAAGGCAATGCCACTCGTGTGTTTGTGCCCATGGTGCAGAGGTCATTTTGGCTTTCCATGAAGGACATTTTAGTTTGGATGTGCCATCAGCAACACATGCAGCTGGATCCTCATTAAAATTTATCATTTGGCAGATTCTTGTAAGAACCAGATACCTCCTGGCAGGGGGGATTTTTAGAAGATTTTGCAGCTCAAAGGGGAAAAGGCATTTTGGTCCCATTGCTGCACAAGAGATGTTACAAAACCTGTCCTGTTGCACTAAATCCCAGCATCTGTACCTGTCAAAGAATACTCCATATATATGCAACTCACAGGTATAATAGAGAATTATGTATGCTAGATGTTGTCTGTCCTTTCTACCATCACTTACTTAAAAAATGGATAGGCAGAGGATACTTCAAAGATTGCCAAAGTGATTTTTCTTCTTCCATGACATTGATGTAGGTGAAATTGTGTGTACCAACCCAGCCTTACTCTTCTCAGCCAAGGCTTTAATCATCAATAACTGAAGTGAGGGGGCAGGCTGTGTGGGTTCAACACTCCCCAGCAAATGGCTTCCTTCTCTGAAGTTTCACCTTTCCTTGTGTGCAGCCCTTGGGCTGCCAAATGGAAGAGGAGATGCATGGCAGTGGGGAATGTCTGCCTTTTTGCTGTATGCAGGCCCCAAATGTGTGTATGGTCTGCACTAACCTGAGAGACACAAATACAAGCAATAGCTCTGCTTCTCACTGGCTTCAGCTGTTTTCACTGTATCTCCAGAGCTGTACAGCAGTGGAAGCTCCTACTTTACCCACACTGTGCCTACTTCTGCTGCAACAGTGTGTGTGTTTAAAGAGAGAGCAAATAAATTGCCTTCTTAGCTAGAAGAAAGTACTGTCCATCCCACCCTTCTTGACTAGCACAATGTCAAGAGGAAGAACTCCATGCCATTGGAGTATGAAGAAGGGCATGTGTTAGAGGTGGCACAGGTCCTCCACAGAGATGTTTTTCCACATGATCTGGATTAGGAGAGTCTCCTTGACAGATTTCTAAACAAAGTCTGAAAAAGAAGGTGTTAAAGTGATGGATTTGTGCCTGGGAAAGTCTTCTGTGGAGATGATTACATTGGGTGTCAATCTGTGTCTACAGAAACAGGGGCCCTATTACTGATTTCCCTAAGCAGCTTCTCAGAGAGAGTCTCCAAAAGAAATTGGGTTGCCTTTCAGGATTTCCATGTGAATCTCCTCAGAGGGTTATGTGCATGCTTTAAATTGGCTTTGATTCCTCTCCCTAGCGCCCTCACACAGCAGCTTCTGAAGGGGTCATTATGACCTTGGCTTATTTGTAAGGTAAGAACTGTGCTTTGGGGATTTTAATTAGACTTGGGGTTAGGCTTTATTTATTTATTTATTTTATTTTATTTTATTTTATTTATTTAACTGAACAAAAAAGTGTCCAGAGACATTTAAATACCCTAATTTCTCATTCCACTAGAATTATCAGCAGCTCCTTAAAGTAAATGTCAAATCACTATTAATTGTTTCAGAATTCACCGATAAAATATTTATCATAATGAATTCCTTCAAAAAAAAAGAAAACTAAAAAGATTCCTGATGAAAATACAGACAGTGGAGGAGGTACTTGGGGAGGCTGCTCCATCTGGTGGCAGCTCAGGACTCGTGGTTTGAGGGGTGGTGCCTCTATTTGCATTACACACAGGTGAAATTGTCCTCCAGTTTAACCCTGTTAAGCATCATCCGCTCCTTGGCAGAAGAGCATGAATCCATGCACTTGGTTGATGTTGGAAAACTTGGTTGGCACTGGCCACTAGACACGCCTCACCTATGAAAATTACCTATAAACATTTAAAATCACCAAGCTCTTCCTGGTTTTCCCCAGGAAAGAAATGGAACAAGCTTTTATAAATAATTTTCAGTGCAAGTCTGGGTAGCAGTGCTGCCGCCAGCTGTTACAGAGGCCAGGGAGCCTCTTTGGCCTTTGCCCTGTACTTCCAAGTCCTACTTATTTCACACCAGTTTCCAAGCACCTGCTTAGTAGAAACATCCTTCTGGATGGGACATGTAAGCCTAAATTATAAGATTTTAATACATTTTTAAACTATATAGCAACAACAAGTCAGGAAATTGTTTTTAAATAGAAGCAGAAACCAGAGGAGGAGAGATCAAATCACAAGACAGTTGAAACAAGCAGCAGAGACCCACAAATCCAGAGGCACACAAATGGCCATCATGAAATTAAAAATCCCTTCTGTTCCTGGTGTGCCCTTCACAGCACCCCCACACCAGAGCAGGGTGTGTTTATTATTTTCTGCAGAAAAGGGAAATGAGAGGCCAGGTGCTGAGGAGACATTGATCACCTCTTTCCCCCAGTCACAGCAATTTTTATACAGTATATATTCTGTATTTACTATAAACTATATATATATATATATATATATATATATATATAAAATTATATATAGCAGGTGATGGGTAGTTAATGTATTTCACACCATGTAGTGTATATTATTATATCCTGTATGTGTACTACACCTAATTTAGTTAGATAAAATGCATGCTCTATAGAAAATGCATTAGCTCAAACTTGGGTTTATATAATCCCTAAACACAGGTAAAAGCTGTAACATAATGTCAGTATTTGCATACAAAGTATTTTGTATTAAATAAACTAAAGCATCCAATATCATCTAACATGGAGATGATATACACCAGCAATCTACTACAAATATGTGGTTTAGACCACATATTATAGACAACATATAAACTATATAAATGTAGATAAATGTAACTTGGGATATAACTGCACCCAACAGAACACTCTTTATAATGTAGTATATAACCCCTA